GCATACAAAAAAACTCACAGCATATGTTTCATCGAGGAGTAAAACCCCACTCTGTAACATTGTGTTCATGGTTTTCTTTTAAAATACTATGTTTTTTGGTGCCTACTACAAAGTAGTAGACACTATGCTATCAGGTCGAATGTATATGAGTAAGTAAGAATTATGTGTAACAATAGAATGACGTCAAAATGCAATCAATATCCCTTTTGATGACCCATATCCACAGGAAGCCGTCAGAAGCGATCAGCAGAAGATATAACTTTAGTGTGAAGTACTGCCGAAAATTCTTGCAACCAATGTGAACCAATCATCTCTGCCGATTCATGAACAAGATCATGAAAATTCTGTGTTTATTTGTCTCGACCTAGAATACGCCAGCTGAGTTTTCCACTGTGGTTAAATTGGAATGTAGGGTCACGTGTGATTGACGCAACTGGTGCACTGTTCGTCTGATTCACATTCAAGTTGAGGACCAGTGATTACGTGTACGAGTGATTCGAATCCTGTGGACTCAGCACTTGTTCCAAGCTCAACACTAGTATCATTACCGCCGTCTTGTAACATTAGGCACAAATATTGTAGAAAAATGTTAATGAATGTGGTTTCAACCACTAAACACATTGCAACTATTGCAAATTCAGGGGAATATTCATTTCATTACAACACATACAAAGAACTATATGTATCTGCTTCACTTCAATTTTACAATTGAGTGCCTTTAATTTTACATTTTMGAGAAAGATAACCAGATACTGYTGTGCCACTTGATCTGTGCTTCATTCAATAGACTTCTGAACCTTTTACGTCACTACTTGATTTGCAATGCATTGTGGGATCAGTTTCTARAGAAAACAAAAGAAATCCGCCATKTTYKGTCCCAAACATRTCCTACAATGCATTGCGTATACGGTACATGAYGTAAAAGCTGCAGAGGTCTATTGTGCACATAAAGCAAGCAAGGAGTTAAACTGAATCCCAATYTAGATACCTAAAGTCTTMGCCATTTCTGCTTTCCGCTTTTTGTGCTCCCAAGTTCCTTCATGATCAACTTCTTCRTCAGAGTCGTATTCATATTTTGGTTTCTTGGATGGTCCTGATGATGTAGATTCTGCTGCTTTTGCTGCTGCACGTTTTGCAAGAATGCGATAGTACACATTTGTGATCTAGAAAAAAAATTGAACTTTTCACACATAATCTTGCATATTACATTAGCTTATTTTGCTTTGCTCCTTGACTTAAATGTATTTTGATGTTTGATCCACATACAAGATAGTTTACACCTAATGCTGGATCTGAACTTGGATATAAACTAATCTGTGATACTAGAAATGTACATTTGCCTAGTAAGTGGTAAGATGCGTGGCTCAAATTGTATTTTCTAAAAAAGAAATTCATGATATAATATACTTTTGAATTTCTAGCTGATAAGAATAAAGAGACTTCAAAATCCATAAATAGCAGCTATGTTATTATAGTAACAATGTCCAGTTCACAGGAAAAAGAGTGACAATAGATTGCTAAAACTGCAATTAGTTAAGTTAAGGCAAATACATTTATTCCAACTTTTATTCCACAGTATTMCGCAACAAGTTTACAGGAAAGTGAGTGTCAAGCAAGTGACAGATTCGTCCCTCTCTAATGATTGCTTTGTAATCTACGAGTTAAAAGGAATGACTCACCTCTTCTTGTTCTTTCCTTTGTCTTTCTTTTTCTTCTGCTTCTTCRTTACTCATGGGTACACTATGTTCCTTTGCTACATCTGCTGCAATTTGTGCTGCTATTCGAGCAGCTTCAGTCATTGCTGTCACTGGACTTGCAACTGCAGTTGAAGAAGAGGACAGTACTGTAGACGGAGGTGGATCTTCCCATCTACTTTTTCGTTTTCGCCTCAAAGGTGGATCGTCACCAGAACCTCTTGTCTCTCCTGATAATGATCTGCAACTTGCCACATATTAGAATATAAAAATATACAAAATGTAACGTTTCAAGAGGATCATTTAATTTTTCTCTAGATAAAATAGTTTTTTTTTTCTTAAATTGGAAGATGGAAACGAGAAATTAGCACAACATCTAGTACAGGTATATTATAAATGAACTAGACGCCCCTGGGGCGTGAAGTCGGACTAGCTATTTTTGAAAATTGATAGACACAAGTGAAAAGATTATGATGTTATATTCTGTCTAATCATATGATTATATTATGAATGTAAATGAAACTTGAAAAAGACAGGAGGATATTACATAAAATATAAAAATTAGATTAAAAAATATATTTCTTAATTTTTCTCCAAAAAAGCCGARCTCACGATCTAATAAGAGCGTCTAGTTCAAAATATCCAAATTCTCTTGAGACTAAAATAAACTTGACCTGCAGAAATGTCATGTAATTAATACATCTATGAACGTTTTAAATGAGTCCTTGCTTTGACTGATAAAATCAAACATGGCAAGACATGGTATGTGGATAAGTGACGCTAAGTGATAACGTTGACCTCTCAGGCCAAGAAAATACTTTACAAAGTAAATGATACTACTATAAAATCATTAAACTCGCCTTTTTGTTATTGATCTAGGCTCAGACAAATGTCTCGCTAAGTGATATCATGATGACCTCTCAGGCAAAGAAAATAAAAACTTTACAAGGAAAAAGATGGCTATAAAATCATTAAATTCGCCTTTCTGTTWTTGATAAACAAAGTTTCTTCTTGTTCTAATTTGAAATCTTTGCCCCCACAAGACTGTCTTTAACACTAGAAAGGATATTGATTCAGTTTTGTAAGCATACAACTCGAAACTCTATGCGATCTGCACATGCGCGTACTTCTAATGCCTAGACAGATGCATTCCGATGAGATCACAGATACCACATTTGTAAACGAATAGTTTTTTTGTCATATAAAAGCCAAGTAGCTTATAACATTTACTAACGATATTCGTACATCAATACGCTTGAGCCTCCGGTCATGTAATAACACAGCCAACCCAATAGTTAATTATTAAATTCTTAACTTCCGGTGGTCCAAACGCGACATAATACATAGATAGATTGATAGGCTAAAAGGTAAAACTAAAGTCGACCTAGCCTTCGGCTAGTCCGATTAATAATCAATAAAATCATAAAACCAACAGAGGAGAAAAGGAGTTCTTACCTGGTTGATAATCCATGACTGGTTTTACCAGCTATATTAACCTGTTGATGTTGGTTGTCTGATGTCTGTGCTTCTGGAGGGGAAACTTAATGATAGATCCATGAGACGCATTGCTTACACAATAGTTGCACATACCTTAGACCAAGGATAACAACTTCCCATCAAATATCAGAATTATCATATCAAAGAATGTTGAATAGCATTATTAAATACTGCATAGTGAATGGCATTTGAAATAATGACAGTCTTTTGGAAATCAAATTCAGGCTACAAGGGAAAATCCAAAATTTTTATACAATCAAGAAGGGGTCACTCAGTGAAATCAGAAACCTATCAGTGACTTGAAACGTGTACATGTAACTCTGTGCCATCCGTTGTAACATTCAAATCTAATTTGCATCTCATTCTGTCCTTATTTGGAACAATTCAATTTTTTACCCTAGCCCACCAGAATGGGCCTTGATCTCTTATCCAACGGCAGAATTTTCTAAATATGGTCATAACGTTTGTTTTTGCATTTTTAATGAGCTTTGAATATTCCGATGCTTGGTACTAAAAAAAATGTATGGGCGCTACACGTTTCAAGTCCCTTATAGGTTTCTGGTGAAATTCATTTGTCAGCATAGTAGTTAGCATATTAAGTAAACTTTTACATAAGACACATCCATACATGCAAATAGTATACTCCAGTTTTGAGTTCATAGCGAATAACTGCTGCTTTATTTGACAACAGATTCTCTTGCGCAAAGACCTTACAAACACAAACGAGAGCATGAGAAAATGTCGTTATTACAATAGACTTGAAAATTTGCATTTTCCCCGAGTTGAGATTATCCCTGTATTCCCATAAGATCTAAGGTATGAGCAGGGTTAGCCTCAACTCGGGGAAAATGTAGATTCTTAGCGCTCTATTGTATTAACAACATTTTCTCGTGCTTTCTTTTGTCTTTGGTAAGTTCTTTGCGTAATAGAATCTGCTGTCAMGTAAAACAGCGGTTATTCGCTTTGAATTCGAAACTGGAGTATTGTGATAAGGTCAAGATTATGTGACACCCATATTTGGAAAATTGTGTAAGTGATCACATTTGTAACGCGCGCTTTACGCATGTAAATCAGTTCTGCTCCAGATACGGTCGTTGTGGTTGTGTGTCAGTTTGTCTGAGTGTTATCTTTCTCCAATAACTTAAATATAGAACCTACATGTACAGCAAATAACTACTAAATTCCATCAATTTCCAACCCAGTTACAGTATGTTAATAAACGTAATATCATGAAAAGATTTAATTGCATTTAGTGTGAACCTACTAAAATCAATCCAAAACAATTTACTAAATTAAAAATTCTGCAACTGAAGCAGAAAATCCTTTAATGAACATTGTTCTTTATTTGAACATAAAATATCTGAGCCAGTACAAGGTTGTATTACAACCATAGAACTGTCTCGATATCAACCAGAGATCCTCCATGGATGACAGTTATTGTGAAATCTATGATGAGAGTAAAATCAAGAATTCCCTGCCATTGCAAAGAAAGCCTGGAAGAGTTAAACAAAAGAATTTCCGAAGTGATAAGAGATAACAGAAAAAAACAGCTCAGCTTTTTTAGTCAGCAAAGAATGGTGCACTCAAGACCTTGAAAAGTAGACACAATCTGCCAACGGTGCACCCCAGTGAACATTATTCTACAAGACACTTTTTACACCTTATAAAGGTCTTTTTTGGTAATCTGTGCTAAGACAGTGATTCTGGAACTTAATATCTCTTGCAACAAAATTGTGTCCAATCTCTCAGAAAAGAGCAAGCATTAACCCTCTCCTGAAGGTAAATAAACAAAAGAAATGGAGATTACCACAGCATAAGCCTCACACCAGTTATCGCTTGAGCCTTGGAAAGGATCATCTACGATCATCTACAGCTTCTTTGTAAATGATAGATTACAACAAAGTGTAAGTCCTACTCGATTTGCTTATAGAGAAAGAGTCTCTTGTACAGATGTTTTACTCTCAATTCAAAACACRAGTCTACAGTTTCATGTACCTCAACAATCAGCTGTATGAGTATTGCTATATGGATTTCAGCAAACCCTTGGGCTCTATCAACAATCTGTTGTTGAAAAGTTGAAATGTCTGCACTTCAGCCCTATATAATAAATTGGTAACTTAGCTTCCTCAAGTGATTTAAAATAGCATAACATGTGAGTTGATTGTGGTCAACCCAAGGCAGTGTCAGTGGCCCTCATCTACTCAACATTTTGTATGAATGACCTTGAAAATCATTCATGATCCCACCATGGCTATTGTTGCCCAGCACTCTGATGATCTTAAACCATCATCTCCCCTGTTCTTAATGACAGCGGTAACTCTATCAAACTCTTAGGGGGTTTTATACATATAATCTTAATGATGGCCGTTTTACATGGACACATGACTCAATCCTCCATTTCCAGGCTATAATACCCTGCAAATTGCACATGGTTCTACCCTACGTATATGCTGATCTACCTGCTCTTGGAGTATTTGATAAAGAACMTGAAAAATTKATCACTATGCTAGATGATTTAGGCTTTGAAAACAATTTCAAGCAACATATAATCAAAACAATAATTAAAATAGCCATTCGATCCACTTATTTTACTTTTTTGTCATAGGAACAAAGATTGGGAAAGTCCAGACTAATTCTTTAAAATTAATTATGTCAGTAATGTAAATATATATTCAAAATACTTAAGTATTTTATCCATGTTATCAACGTCACTTTGCACACATCTTAAACAATCAGCAATCATATAGTGYAGAMTTTGAGAGATGGGGTGGGGGGTGTGTTTCTTTAGAAACRYGGGCAAAAACACTTAAAACTAGCCATAAGCCTAACCCTACACCAGCCCAAAAACCTAACACTTCCATCGTATTCTAACCCTAATCCCAAATCCAGAACCCTAATCTTTGCCCTAGGTTACTGAAACCCTAAGCACTGCCTAAGACTAACCTCAGGAACAGTGAGCGGAGGGAAGGGTGCAGTCCGTAATTTTAAGGTGTTTCATAGTGGTTGGCACTCCCGCGCACCTCACATTTTTAAACGGCCGTTTGACCAACTTAATGTAACTCAATTTTCATAGAATAAACAGGAAATGTTGTACTTAGATGGGAAATTTTTAAACATTAATTGATTTTTAATTTACTGCAAAAATAGCAGTTTTATGGTAGAAAGAAAGAATTCAAAGAAAGCTGTTTTCTGGCCAATTTCGATGGCACCTAGAAAAACCAAAAGTAATGTGTTTAACTGTTGGACATTGCTAATAATATATCTAAAAATCAAGGAAATTATTCTAGCCGATTTTGAGAAAAATGTTTAAACATGTATGTGTTGCATTTTTTGTGCTTTTACGAACACACTCACAATTGGCCCACATTCATTGTAAAATGCCAATGYCTGAAGCTCAGTTTTACAGCAAAAGACTTGCTTGGCTTATAAGATAATGCTGTACAAGTATAGAGTTATTTCTCTTGGCAGTTTTGAAGATGTGATTTTTTTCAGTACACCGTAGTTTATGCAGCAACTCTGAAAAAGTGTAGTTTTAGCGTTTTTCCAATTAATCCAAAAATGAGGCTGAATTTTGTTTTCTTCTTAACTGAGTTGTTTCATCACTATATGGGCAAAATTGTTGCAAAGTTTCAACTGGATTGATACGTTTTAACCTGGTCAAAAAAATTTTACAAAGTTTGCTTCAAGACACGTTCAAGATATTGTTTTTGGCTACATGGCTGACAGCACAAGAGAAAATGTTTTAATATATTCAGGCGGATGTAACGCATTCCTTGAATGTAAGATGTAGYGCTTTTATTGGAATACGCAAATAAACAAGTCATTGCACCAATTTTTCTATGTTATTGATTCAAAGTAATTTGTAACCTTTGAGATAATTCTTTGATTTTTTGTTAGGCGGTTTTAGGTCAATTCCACGTTGCGGACATTACCTTCAGAGGCAAAATATGATTAGAACCCCAAAATATTGTAAGGACAAAAGACTTGTTCATTTGCGTATAAATGCGCTACATATTACATTGTCTCGTGCGCAGTCCAAAAACATAATACCCTCAATGCATCTTCAAGCAAACTTTGTAATTTTTTTTGACCARGTTTAAATGTATCAATCCATCTGAAACTTTGCAAAAATGTTGTCCATGTAGCGATGAAACAACTCAATTAAGAAAAAATTGGCTAGAAGAATTTCCTTGGATTTGAGATATRTTATTAGCAATATCCTACAGTTAAACGCAGTACTTTTGGTTTTTCTAGGTGCCATCGAAATTGGCCGGAAAACAGCTTTCTTTCAATTATTTCTTTCTACTACCATAAAACTGCTATTTTTGCAGTAAATTAAAAATCAATTCATGTTTAAAAATTTCCCATCTAAGTACAACATTTCCTGTTTATTTTATGAAAATCGAGTTGTATTAAGTTGGTCAAACGGCCTTTTAAAAATGTTAGGTGCGCTGTAGTGCCAACCACTATTTCCTTTTTAGAAGGAAACAATGATACAGAAATAGCAAACATGATAATTGACTAAAAATACTCGATTGAAGTGATTTTTTTTTCATATAATACCCTAAAAAGTCACTTTGGCCGTTTTCRCAGCCAGCCCTATCTCCTAAAGATCGACACGGAAAGCATTCTAGTTCCAAATCGTACCATGAAAATCTTTAATCCTATAAGGCAGTGATTCAAGTAGCATTTTGCATATGACTCTTTGGTCCAGTGCGTTGCATCGAATTCCTTGTGAAAGAACTGCATACTTATTAATTATTGGAATCAGCTTCCTGGACATTACGACGTGCAAGATTTCTGGAAATATACCTTGGACAGGGCCGTCATAGGAATATAGAAAGCAACACAAAATACTAACTTAAGCTTTAAAATGTTTACCGTTTTTAGCAGGGCCATCGTCTCTCTCAAACACATTGTGAGTTTTCAATGCAGGTCCASTTGAAGTGTTCTTCTTCAATGCTGTGATTTTTAAGCTAACAGGTGTCTTATTGGCTGACGAAATGTCTGAATTTGTTGTTGGTTTCGAAAATTCCTTCTCCTTTTGCATGGCTTGGAAACGAGCTAAGAAGGACCCATCGTTTACAAATAAACAAGGTTTTGGCGGTGGAGGTGTGCCAGAATATTCCAAGTTCATTGCTAAAGAAGCACACTGTGAATTGTGTTCAGTCGAATTTCTTTTCTTTTCCTCAATTCTTTTCAATAAAGCCTGTTTTTTCTCCTCAACTAATCGCCATTGAGCTGTTTTGTCGGACGCCATTTTGTGGATCCTCTCGTACCCAGAGCCCACACTTTTGCCATCCAGCGGATGTCAATTCTGGAGAAGGACATTAGCCGTGAAGACTCCTCAGTCTGGGCTCGAGATTGGGAGGAATCAAGTTTTTCTCGATTCCTGATTGGTTGAAAATGACGCGAGCGCCAGACTCTTCACGGCTGGCAAAAGTGGGGGCTCTGGGTACGAGCCAAAGTGCAAGAGCTTTGTGGCGAAGTTGCCATGTCCAAGTTAAGCAGTAAGCAAGTGGCAGTTTTACGGTGGTTAATTACCCAAATACAGGTAATATAATGGTAGCCATATATAGTGAGTTTCCCTTGTAAGTTTTCATGATGTTGATGTTATAAAATGGTCCTTAATCTGCTGAAATGCTCAAATAATCAAATTGGTAGATTCCATATATCAAAA